AAAAAAAAAAAAAAAAAAAAAACCAAACCAAAACAAACATGAGAAATCCAATAAGCACTAACACATTTGTAATGGGGGACCTTAAAGCCCCACTCTCACAATTAGATAGATCAACCAGACAAAAAATTGACAAAGAAATATCAGAATTAAAACAAACCTATGAACAAATGGACTTACTAGATGTCTTAGGGTGTTCCATCCTACAACATCAGAATACACATTCCTCTGAGTGGTACATGGGATGTTCTCCAAAATAGATCACATATTAGCCCATAAAACGTGCTGAAGAGAATGTAGAGGAATTGAAATCATCCCATGCATACTATCTGACCATAGTGCAATGAAAGTAGAAATCAGAGGAAAAAGAAATCACAAAAACTACATAAACACATGGAAAGTAAACAACACCCTGCTGAACAACCAATGGGTCACAGATGAAATTAAACAGTATTTGCAACTAAATGATAACACTGATACAAAATATCAGAAACTATGGGATGTAATGAAAGCAGTCCTAGGACAGAAATTTATAGCAATGAACTCTCATGTCAAGAAAACAGAAGGAGCTCAAATAAATAACCTAATATTGATCCTCAAACTTCTAGAAGAAGAACAGGTCAAACCCAAAGCTCATGTGAGGGAGGAAATTACAAAGGTAAAAGCAGAAATTAATGCAATCGAGATTAAGAAAACAATACAAAGAATCAATGGCTTGAAAAGTTGGTTCTCTGAAAGAATAAATAAAATTATTAAACCATTAGCCAACTTCATCAAAAAGAGGAAAGAAAAAAACACAAATTTAAGCAATTAGGAATGAAAAGGGGAAAATCAAGATCCTACAGAAATGGATCCTACAGAAAGACATTAAGAACCTCTTCACGGAAGGATCCTACAGAAATCCTACAGAAATCCAGAAGATCATCCTACAGAAATCCTACAGAAATGGATCCTACAGAAATCCAGAAGATCATCAATACCTATTATAGAAACTGTACCCTAATAAGATGGAAAACACAGAAGAAATGGACAGATTACTAGACATAATCAAATTGCCAAAACTAAGTCAAGAAGATATAAAAAATTCTAAATAACCCAATATCAGTCAATGAAATTGATAATATAATTAAAAACTTAACAACAAAGAAAAGCCTAGGTCCTGATGGATTCACAGCTGAATTCTACAAGAAATATAGAGAAGATTTAATGCCAGTTCTTCTCAAATTCTTTAATGAAATTGAAAGCGAAGGAATTCTCCCTAACTCATTCCTGGAGGCAAATATTACCTTGATACCAAAACCAGAGAAAGACCCAACCAAAAAAGAAAACTACAGGCCAATCTCCCTAATGAATATAGATGCAAAAATACTCAATAAAACCCAGTCTGCACAAGAAAAACTACAAAGAATCAACAAATGGGATCTCACCTTATTAAAAATTTTTTTGTACAACAAAGGAAATCACCAACAAAGTAAAAATACCAGCCACAGAGTGGGAAAATATTACAGCCAGCTGTCCCTCAGACAAAGGACTTATATCTAGAACATAAGATATTAAAAAAATCAGGCCCCCAAATTCAAAGACCCAATCCAAAAATGGGCTTCTGAGATAAATACACAGTTCTCAGATGAAGAAATGCAGTAGTAAATAAATATATGAGAAAATGTTTAACATCACTGGTCGTTTGAAAGATGCCAATGGTGAGATTCCATCTCACCCCAGAAAGAATGGCTGTCATCAAGAAATCAACCAATAACAGATGCTGGAGCGGGTGTGGGGAAAAAGGAACCCTTTTCCAACTGTTGGTGGTGTGTAGACTGCTACAACCACTATGGAAATCAGTGTGGAGATTCCTAAAAAAAACTAGGAGTAGAGGTCCCATTTGGCTCAGCTATTCCCTTTTTGGGTATCTTCTCAGAAGAATTAAAAACATCATACTAGAGTGATATACGTGCACCCAGTTTTACAGCAGTACAATTTGTAATAACTAAATCTTGGAAACAACCCAAATGCCCATCAACCAAGAAATATATAAAAAAGATGTGGTCTTTTTATAAAATGGAGTACTACTCAGCCATAAAGAAGGATAAACTTGAGACTTTTATAGGTAAATGAATGCAACTGGAGACCATACTCATAAGTGAAATAAATCAGACCCAAATGTGTGAACATAGTGCAGTGTCACTAGTATGAGAAGCTGTAAGAGGAAATAGGATCCAAAATGTACAATAGATATTGTAGATTGGGAAGAAACTGTTCAAAAGAAAAGAGAAATTGTGATGGGGGAAAGGGAAAAAGAAGGAAGGGAAAAGGAAAAAAAATATATATATACACACACACACACACACAAAATAGTTAAGATAGCTATCCAGCTGGTTTCTCTTAGTTCACTGAAAAGAAAGTTTTGTCCTAATATTGTTTGTACAATATTTCATGCCTATAAATTGTACTCAGAGTAACTACTTTGAGGATAACAATATGCAATGCATTAATTATTGTTACTTTCCTATTATCTTGTTTTGAAATTCTCTTTTCTTTGCTTTAAAATAAAAAGAAGCAGAGCTATAAAAATATAACAAGGAAAATAGGTAAAAAAAAATGCTAAACAAGTTGGGAAGTCACTCTTGGTTGCATAAAAATTCCTCATTTTTATTCACAAAGTTAGAAACTACCAGATTTTTCCCTATGGATTTTATACTATGTCCTCCATTTCAAAGAAATAAGTTGTGAATATGTAATGTACTTAAATGAGATTGAAGGTCCACTTAAATGTATTAAGACGATGTAAAAGGGTTATTAGAACAGGAAACTGGGCTGAAATTCCTAAACCCTAGAGCTTCCTTGTGTAAATTTACATTGTGAGGTAAAGCACAGTGACGGTCCGTTAGACACTAAGTATTCAAGGTTTTTTGCAGTTTCACCATGTGATTAACTTGTGCGCCATTCAAAGTGGGTGATCAGCAACTGCTGTTGGTAACAAGAAAGGACTTGAGGAAAATCAAGATCAAATGAAGCAGTCACGTCCTATCTGATACAGGATTTGAGAAGCTGGACAGTCACCAGCAGGCACAGAAATCCTACTGCTGAATAACTGCTGCAAAGAATGTAATAATAATATTCACTCACTTTCCATTTGTGTATTATTTGTTCCAGCAACTATAAAGTTGTGAGAATGTAAAGACTTATTAAGTTGTTTGGACCTGTTGACTTACTAAGCGGAAATTCAGCGTGGGGGTGCTGTGAAGCAATCACCCACACACTAAAGGCCCCCTGAACCTTAAATGTTTGGGGAACTCCAGGAAAAAATCTTACTTTCTGTGTATATTTTATTCACTTTAAGCCTTTATTTTTTAAAAATATGTTTTAGTGACTATTACTCTTACAAAAATTAGATGTAAATATGGTATTTTCACACAGGCACATAATATATTATGATCATATCCAGCCTCCTACTACTCTCCCTCATTCTTTCTCTGAACTCTACAATGGATCATTAGCCAGAGTTTAATTGTTGCCAGCATGACGCACTTATGTACTTACTAAAAAGCCCACTTTATTGGTGCTGTCAGTCTCTACACAGCCCTTTATGCACGTATGCATTCCCCACCCCGCTTGCTTCCCTTCCCCACACCCTCTGTCTCACACACTGCTCAGCACATGAAAATGTCTTGGAATCCTAAGTGGTGCAGACGGCACAACGGTAGCACATACTTAAGTTGGCTGTGATAGTGCAGGTATAATCAGAACTAGTAGATAGAGCTGGATTATAATTGGGGCTGGATTAAGATGCTTCCTTAGCATCTGAGAACATGGGCCCAAGCTGATTCGAGACTTGGGCTGTGGCAGGACTCTGCTGCAGAACTTCTGTCCACTAGCAGCTACCTTCTACTTCTCAAGCCTATTCCTAACACATCCTCCAGACAACAACAATTCTGCTGGTTACAAGGCCATGGCAATTTCCTTATGACAGAGGGGAAACTCTGAGAAATAATCAGGGACTGAGGCTCAGTTTCTCCATCTGTAAAACAGATGGTGCTGAACTGGCCACCTGGAAGTGATTTTGAAAACCTGGTATTTATAACTGTGAATTTCACTGGGCATGGGATTAGCAAAAATGATCTAGCAATAGCATGGAGATCAAGAAATTTTGACACAGTTCATAGAATGAAACATGAAATACTTAACAACAGAAAAAAACAACAAAATCCCAATATAAGTTAGTAGAATTTCAGAGGAGGTTTGTTTCCTGCTTTCCTCTTGTGCCAAATGTGAGCATTTGGTAGACAACCACCCAAACCATTGTCTCAGACCATGCTAGAAGCTGTTGAAGAAAGTATTGTATTCAAGAGAACTCACTGATTTCCCTTTCCCTTGGAAGTATAAGTTTTCCACTTAAGATTTGGTTCAATTACTTAATAGTCTATGCAGAAGGGTACTTACCAGTAGTACTTACCCTTACAGAAGACTCAATGTCTGGTTTTATTGTGCCATCATGAGTACTCAAGCTCTGCTCCTTACTTTGGAACAGAGAGTTTCTTTATAGTTCCTCTGGGGTCATGCGCAGAGGAAGCTATGTTCTGGTGATGTGGTTCTGCTCTGAAGTACAACAACAAAACAGGAAAAATCCCAGCCCCACCTTTTTCATCCAAAGGAGACAGAGATTACATCTGGTTACTTACTTTATGTACTTGTAATTACTTTTGGCAATGGCTCTGCCAGTTAGAACTCTGGAGCAGCAGAAATCAAAACAGCAGGAGTCCCCAGCACACAGGACGAGCTTGGTCTAAGAGATAAGCAATGTTATGCAAAATTTGGAAGCCACCCTTATTTATATCTTACCCCTTGATTAATCGCAATAGTGAAATACCAATAGAAATACTGGCTGAAATGCACTTCAGGCTCATTCTGCCTGCAAGGTATAAATAAAGTTAAGGAGTTATCAATCCCATTGCTTACCAGTCTGACTCTTCAAAGGGACAAGAATAAAATAGGATAATCATGTTAATCGCTGCTACATCCAAACTTCACTTTTAAGAGTTTTGGTTCAATTAACATTCAGAGAAATGATTATTTAAAAAATTTATGCATCTCCCATGTTATTAAAATTCTTTTACATGTAGATGATTCCCCAGGCTCTTGGAGGAGTACAAGATGGACATGCGGGAAGGACATGGCATTTGAAATCACAAGTGCTGAGTTCAAATATTGTGTTCACCAGCCAGTATGAGAGCAATCTTGGAAAAACTGTATGGCTTCTTTTATCAGCTTCAGTTTCCTCAGTAGAAGATAAGTGTAGTAGTAGCTGCTTCAAAGAGTTCTGGTGGTTAGATGAAGTAACCTACATCCAGAGCCTTGTATGTAGTAAGGACTGTGGATGATGGTGATGGTGATGGTAATGTCTGTCACAGTCACTGAGAGCAAACGCCAAGGGAGATTGGCAGACTGAAGCAGAGAGAAGCTTCTGAAAAAATAAATCTTTTCTCTTGGTTTCAGTACTATAACTACAGATTTTGGTCCTGATTCTGGAGCCTGTTGTAAATAACTGAGTGTGTTTTTGCTCATTGGGATCACTCAAGTCGTATCTCTGGCTTACTAAACATCTGGCAAGGAGACAGCATTGTTACCTCTTCCTGCAACTGTGAAGATGATAATATTTGAATAACTTTAAACTTTATCCTTATCCAGAAAGTGAGCCTTCTAGGCTACTGTTAACTCATGTGTTCTTAAAAACCAAAATGTGTTTGACATTGAGTCAGAGATATGATGAGGGACAGGGTGACCACTGACATTGCGAGCTTAGCACCTCTCAGTGCTTCCTTTGATCTGTACGTGGCACACACCATGGAGGTCCCTAGGCCTTACCAGACATAGTGCTAATAGAAGAGATATCAAAGGACTTTAAGATGTGGTCAAGCATAAATGTGGCCACTTTATTATGTCATGTTTTCGACTTAGCTAGAGATTTATATTAATTAAAAGTGAGGAATTATCCTTCAGAGAAACCTTCACTTTCTGCTATGTGTAAGGTTTCTTTTCAGTTGTATATTAGGCCATAGGATGAGGAAAACTCTGTGTCTCCTTGTTCAGGTGGACCTAGATCCTAATAAACCAGATTAGTGGGATTTTCAGGAAATATTATGGACTTGTGCCTTCTAGAAATATGGAAGGATTGTACTGCATGGTCCCCTAGTGGTTGATTGGGATTGTGCAACTAGTCTGCTCAAAAAACTGAACTTAATGTGTGTCCTGCTGGGCTGGACCATTACATTGCCAGTGTAGATTCTATATGACTTTCTCTTCCTTCAGCGTGGTAACCAACAACTGCCTAGTGGCCTGGACCTCTGTGTGACTGTGGAGAGCAGAGCCTACCTGCACTGGACACATACATCAAAGAGAAAGAATCTGTTTTATCTGAAGGTATTGAAACTTGGGGATTGCTTATTCATGCTTGATACCTAAGCTCTTTTGAGTGAAGCACTGGCAGGCTGTTTCTTAGAATTTTCCTTTTCCTTCCTTCCTTCCTTCTTTCTCCTGCTCTGATTCGTAGTTGGAGCCATAGAATTTTAGAGCGGAAGGAGAGCACGCAATTTACCCAGTTTTAGCCTTGATTGTAAATTAAACCTACTGAGTACAATTACTTTCTCTTTCTCCCACATAAAACAAAGTTAAAATGCATACAACTGCCCACCTCTTAATTCCTTCACTCAAAGCTTCAAGAGGCTGTTTACCTGCACGAGTCATGCTGAGGGTTTGTGGCTTGTGCTCTTTGGTTTTTGCTCTTTTTTTTGCACACCCCTGCAGAACAAATGCATGGAGAGGATCTGGAGACAGCAGAAGGCCTACGAAGGCTGGGCACTGTGCTGAAACGTGCCTTGTGTCTGCCAGCATTGCTGAGGCAGTGACCCACGCCTCTACCATCCAAAGACTGGAGCAAAGAGCAGTCACTCTGTTTACATTTCTTCAGGTGTCTTCATAGCTTCATGGGAAGCTTGTGGGGAGGCTGCATTAGCAGTGAAGGGTGTATTCCGTGTCTGCCTGAGGAGTTTGCTGTTAGCTGGAAATGCCATGGTATTTTAGAATAGTATGGTAGAGTGGGGTGAAGCAGAAAAGGAATCAGAATCCCTTAACATTCTTACAGGTGGAGTGGGATAATCATCCCCACTGCACCTAACATACAAGGCTTTGGTAAGGATTACAGGCGATAATATTTGCAGAAATTCTTTGTGAATGCTACAGAATTCAGTGAAGCCTCAGTAGTTGCCCTATCTTTTTCTGTCTTTTCTTTCTTTCTTTCTTTCTTTCTTTCTTTCTTTCTTTCTTTCTTTCTTTCTTTCTTTCTCTTTCTTTCTCTCTTTCCTTTCTTTTTCTTCTTCCTTTTCTTTCTTTCTTTCTTCCCATCTTGATATCTCCAGACATACCAGAGCACCTGATAGTGAGTAGTGCTTAATACATGTTAAACACATAAGTTAATATGTAGCTGTATGTTCTTGCTTGTGGTGTTTATCTAAGGCTATTCCATGATGTTATGAGTCTGGTACAAGTTAGGACTCCAAATTTGTCCCTTGTGTGACAAATCCTTTAAACGAGCCTTTCTGAGCTTAGGTAACCTGAGAGCTTATTTGAAATATATGTGATATGGGTAGCAGCTGGGGTCTCCCTGTCCTTAGTTGCAAGTCCTTAACTTGACAGCTCTCCACCTGGCTTCTATTTACTTCCCCATGGTCTATACTATTATTGTTCTGACTCATCCCAATCTAAGCAGAGAGTTTAGCTGCTTCTCTGGTCTACAGAAAAGCCTATCTCAACTAAATTTGCTCTGTTTAAGAACTTTACTGAATATTCAAACAGCTGCACAGAGAGATCTCATTGTATGCCATAGAGCATTGTACCCATCCAATGGCTCTGTTCTTCTTCTTCTTCTTTTGTTTTTTTCTTTTTTTTTTGTCTTTTTGAGACAGGGTCTCGCTATGCCGTTCAGGCTGGCCTTGAGCTCATTTTGTAGCCCAGGCTGGCCTTGAACTCCCAACAATCCTCCTGCCTCAGCCTCCTGAGTTTTGGGATTATAGCTGTGCACTACCATCCCCAGCACTATCCTTCCTTTTTGTTTTAATTGTTTTTCTCTTTCTTTCTTTCTTTGTTTTGGTGGTACCAGGAACTGAACTCAGGACCTTGCACTTGCTAGGCAGGCACTTAAACCACTGAGCTATATCCCCAGCCTTTTTTTTTTCTCTTTTCTGTTTAAATAACTTAGATATTTCTCTCTTTGCTAGTGAAGAATGCAGTTCTACTCAAACTTATGTCCCTCATAGTCTACATTTTTATCCTCCCTGCCTTTGTTTCTCAAATAAATGCAGTTCTCATTCTTATTCAGATACCTTAAATAACGACCTTAATACCTGAACTGACATAATGCTTATTAACATTAATATGATATATTGTTAGATACAAATATATTAAAATCATTTCAGTTTTTCTTTCACAAGTATACTTTATCAACTTTTTAAAACTCCTAGGGATCATTTCTATCTTCATTGCATAGAAAGGGGGCAAAATTTATTAACATGATGTTCCATCTTGGATGTAAGGCAGTTACTGGGAAATGCTGAGCTAATACATGAGTTCTTCAATGGTTTCATCACCTTGTATACCTTTCATTTAGCTCTGGTTTGAGTCTCAGATGGTGCTGGCTAAAAACCCCAGTGGGGCCACTTACAAGTCACATAACTTGGGAAAATCATTACTCTAAGTCTGTTCCCTGATGCATAAGTTGTCAGAAATAAAAAAATTAAATAAGAAGGAATCATTTTATAAGATCATTGACATTTGGTATTTTACCCAGCTTACTTAGGTCGCTACAACTTAAAATAGCTCAACATCAAGAGGAATTGATCCTCGTCCACAACCAGCCACCTTCTCCTGAACATGAGCTCAAAGTAGAGAGATATCTAACAACGAAAGTCCTTTAATTAGTTATAATTAAAGTCTGTGCCCCAAAGATGTACCATAGGTAAGTGGACATTGAAGTATAGCACTAGAATGTAAGTTTTAGCTGTATCCGTGTCACCTCATGGATAGAGCAGCCAGTCCTCACAGTGGTTTAGCTGAACAGGTGGTAGAGACAGTACCAGCTCTAAGTTTCTCTGATGGGAGGAGAAGTCCTCAATGGTTCTGCTGAATCGTATTTGAATTGCACAGCAGTCTCAGCTGTTTCTATCTAGCCCTTCTTCTCCTCTTTCTTCTCCTCCTCCTCCTCCTCCTCCTCCTCCTCCTTCTTCTTCTTCTTCTTTTTTGTCTTTCTGAGACAGGGTCTCTCTCTGCAGTTCAGGCTGGCCTTGAGCTCACTTTGTAACCCAGGCTGGCCTTGAACTCACGACAGTCCTCTTGCCTTAGCCTCCCTAGTGCTGAGATTACAGATGTGCGACACCATGCCCAGATCTATGCAGACTTTCTTCCTTTTGTCCTTCACTGAGAACCAGATTTGCACTGTGGCCTGATCATTCTTCCAGCTTTTCCTATGCTCTCCCTGTTTTTCCTTTCAAAGGTATTTTCCTTAATAAAACCCTCAATCCCATTTTGTATCTGACCTGGTTAGGTAGAATCAGATCTTAAAAACCTTTTTTTTAGCTTCATTCGTGCTCCCACTAACCATAGGGCAGAGTAAACAAGATAAAGCATTCTGCCTAAGTCTGCACTATCTGCCTCTGGGGTGACAGCCAAAGGTTACAGACCAGTAGCAGCATGCTCCTGGATGAAAGACTGGCTTCAAGGATAAATTTTTCTCTTGGTCATGTTTTAAAAATAATTATTATTTCAAATAATTGCTTGAAATTTCATTACGTATAATAGTTTAAGCATTTCATTTTTAAGTGTGTTTATCAACGCAGAACAAATGTGATATTTCTGGCTATTGATAGAGAAAACAAAGGAACTAGCATACAGCAAAGGAGAGTTGATATAAAAGATCAGTAAAAAGAAGAGTCACAAAGAAAGATTTTTGAGGAAACCGTCTCCAGCTAACATCTTTTGCAGAAGAGCAAACACTGTCAACCATAGCATAAGCACCAGAACTGGACATGAGGAGGGTTTGGCATTGAGGAATGAAAAGTGTTACAGACTAATCTCCAAAAGCGGTTTTTTTTTTTTTTGTTTTGACAGACCCCAAATGAATGGTTCCTAAATTTAATGTGATCAGGAATCATCTGAAGAGCTTATCAAACTGCAGACTTCAGCAAAGATTCTGATTCTTTGGGTCTGGGTTATTGTCACATTTAAATTCAGAACTTCCCTCAACAGTTTGTCTGGGATAGTTTGATGTTCAGGATATATAGAAGTAAAAGGATAGACGGGCTCAGTTTTTCACAGAGGCTCAAATCAATGATTTGTCTTTAAAAAGAATATTTTGAATAATTTCAAGAGATTTCTGAAAATTTCTAAGGCTGTACATTTAATAATAATTTTGGAGTTGTTTTTTCCCTGTTGGTATAGTATCAGCCTAACAAATGTTCAGTCTTTTCCACTGTAGAAGGCCAAGTACTAACGCTACCTCAGTGGCAGAGGTGATGACAAAATGAGATGACCTCCGTGAAACAGTTAGGACAATACCTTGTATATGACAAGCTGGGAGTTGGCAAACCTTTGCTGCAAAGGGTCAGATGGGCAATGTGTTAGGATTTGTGGGCCACCTGTCCCTGCTGCAGCTGTGCTCAACTCTGCACAGAAGCAACGGGAGACAATGGCTGGGCGCGACTGCATTTTAATAAAACTATTTCAGGAGAACAGCTGGTAGCTGCATCTGGCCCCCAACAGGAGTTTGCTGACCTTTGCAGTTAAGGCTTATGATCTTTAAGAACTGGCAAAGTAAGCAGGTCTTTTTTTATTAAGAATTAAGTACGTACATCATTTGTGATTTTTTTTGGAAAAGAATTTGCTCATAGGAGCAATGAAAACAATATTTTGAGCATAAATGTTGGTATTATTTCAATGAACTTTACAAAAAATTTTCACCTAGAGAGAGTGCCTTTACATTGTTCTAGGCGGGTGGTGATGCCACAGCTGGCACACAGAGCCCTCTCTCTCAGCACGGAGCCAAGCTGCTCCAGCCAAGGTTTGATAGATTATCAGCTTGTGTACAACAGCAAAGATTATGTTAATTGTGCAAAAGCACACCATATGCAAACTTTTATCTTTAAGAAGTTGTTTATAAGGGTCGGGGATATAGCTCAGTGGCATAAGCACCTGCCTGGCAAGTGCAAGATTCTGAGTTTGATTCCCGGTACCAAAAAAAAAAAGTTGTTTATGAAAAGCTATTTGGGGCCAGGGATACAGCTCAACGGCACAAGCACCCACCTGGCAAGTGCAAGGTCCTGAGTTCAATTCCTGGTACACACAAAAAAATAAATAAATGAAAAATAAATAATAAGCGGTTTGTATCATTGAAAGCTCTATCATTGTGTTTTACTTGTAAGACAAAAGATGTTAATGTATGAGTTGTTTTTTCTAAACTAAAACCTCAGTGTTCAGATTTAATTGCAGCGTTGGCACTTTGTGATAAAAAAGTGGGTTTTGGCTTGTGATCTGTAGAAGTTTCGCCATCACTGTTCTAGGCCTTGGCCGGAGAAATTCTGGCCAAAATTAAGAACAGGGTCCACATAGGCTTTGAAAGGATAAAAAGGAAAAATTTGCCTAAATCTTCAACATCTTTGATCTTTGCCCTTTCTTCAGGGCCGTGGTTTGGGCTCACAGCATAGCTTATCTCCCGAAGCTCAGTACATGGAAAGAGCGGCTTGGTGAATGTTCCGTAGACAAATGTTTGTCTGTCACATTGTTTAATGTTTACTGACATTGAATTACTCTTCTTTTTAGTCTTCAGTTCTAAGAACATGTTTGTCTATCCTAACTGATATGCTGTTATCAGATGAATAAGATTAGAAATTATTTAGCATTTTGCTTGGGTTATCTGCAGGGTTAGCCCTAGATACAAGGATCAATTGTTACAGTGTAGAGGTTTAGAGCGCTCGGTGATAACACAGCCGCAGCAGCATGTGTGCCATAGGTCCGCTGTTCATCTACTTGAGAGATACACTTTTATTCCTTGATTCGTATTTTTCCAGAATGTCAGAGGTTATCTTAAGCATTATTTCAGTTGTCTTTCACTGTAAATTTCATCAAATACTCTTTTTATTTAGGTGAAATATAAACCAAATATCACAAATAATATTGTGCAGAACACATGTGCAAGGAGCATACAGCTTTATATGTAAAGGCCTTCCAGAATGAATGTAGATATTACAATTAATGAAATAAACTATTAATAAGTACTTTATCAACAATGAGGTTTTTATAAATAAGCATATTGTGGGAGGGTTAGGACCCTCATTTCTAGAGTCCAACAAATCTAGGCTCCAGTTTGAGTTCCATCTGAAGACCAGAAGTGTGATCTTGGTCATGTTACACAACTGCTTTGAATCTCAGTTTCATCATCTGTAAAATGGGTACAGTATCCATACCCATCTCAGAATTGTGAGAATTAGAATAATATTTATAACATACATATAACACACTGTCTAGTCTATGATAAAAGCTATATATGTGTGTGTGTACATACGTGTGTTTTCAGCTAGCTATTATGGCATGTTTGTTTTATTTTTGCAGCAAGAAACGTGGTTATTTGCTAGCTTTCTGTGTGAGACCAACATAGGTGTTGTTTTCTACATTTATTTTCATATCCTCACCCCTGGTAGCCTGAACTTTGTTACCAAACAGTCTGCAGGAACACCGTCAAGTATGTTGTGCAAGAGTTTTAAATATTTACCCCAATTTAAGTTTTTCAGTAATTTAAACTACAGGGCCTACTTTTCATGCTGTGAAATTCTGTATTTTCCACATAATTTAAACCATGTCAAGGCTGGAACACTATCTACAGGCTGTGTGTTATTTTATTGTACTTCTGGGGGTCTCGTGAACTTGAGAAAAGAGTAGAAGGGCAAAGAAATTTCATTTTTCACAATTCTGGTTTTAAACAAAGACCGAATTCTCCTAATTCCCCACGATCCCTTCTCTTACTTGCTCCTCCCAACTCTAAAATTTAGATTACAGCTGTGATATTTTCTATTTGCATATGCTTTTCCTGAAACTGTACTAACTGGCAGGACGATAAAGCTAGAGGTGTGATGCTGACGGATTAGAACCAATGAAGATGGAAAAAAAAGGCCACAAAGACGGCGAGCAGCCCCAGGATTTTCAGCAGGAAAGAAGGTGGGAAGGTTGGAGCAGCCTTCACAGAGCGAGTCTTCAGCGGCTTCAGGATCCTTTGTTCCTGGCTGAGGATGGCGTGTCTGGCTCCTTCCCACTGCCCAGACCCAGCCAGACGGTACTGATAGGAGTTGCAGGGTCCGAAAAAGAGTTTCACAGCCAGCTTAGGCTCTCTGAACAAGAGAGAGATGAGGTCTGGCTTGGCCCCTATCTCCAGGGCGAGCTCATCCAGGTAGTCCACGTAATTGGTCTGCAGTACCTGGCTGTGGCTTTCTCCAAACCTGAATGAAGAACGAGAAGAGGACAGGTTCACAGACTGTTCTCACCTCTATGGAACAGGACGCCTTTGATAGCTGTTTAACAAATGAAGGGAGTAGAAGTCAGTGAGTCTTAAGTGAATCTGTGGAGGAGAGTGTGAGTTTATCCCAGCAGGAGGCCAATCTCTCACACTGAGCACAGGCTATCAGCTAAATAGCCATGAGTTTCCGGAAGCTCTAGGGATGGGGCCAGGCTGATCACTGCAGTCACTGCTTAATATTCATCACACAACTGCAAGTCTCCTGGCAAGTCTGCACTAGGCAGATTGCTGTAGAGACTAAAAGCCTAGCTCAGTGTCAGAGCAAAGGAGATGCTTAACGTTTCCTTGTCGAATTGCTGAAGTACCTGGCAGCCTGGTTGATGTGCAGTAGGTACCCAGTAAATGTCAAATGAATTAGACTTTGAACATAAAAAGAACCTGTTATCCAGGTGTAAAAAGCTCAAGTGAACTTCCCAAGAGAACTTGGTCACTGTTCAAACCATGTTCTCCATCAGGAAAAACAACGAATCCTTGAAACTTCATACCTGAAATCCTTCCTGATTTATTTGCATGGGGACTCTAAGGTAACTTTCCAGAGATATTCAGGCTACTGTCGTGACCACCGCACCACCCCACTCCCAGTCAGACCAGAGTACGGGTGACCTGAGAAGGTGTACAACCTCACACGGGCATCATACAAGACTAAAATGAAATTAAGCCAAGAAAAAAAAAAATGTTCTGATCTGGTACAGTCTCTATCCTTGTTTCTTAGACTACAGAGTAAAGGAATTATCCAGGAAGACTGTAAAAATGTAAATTTCCACTTTCATCCACAAAGCTTCTGATTCAGTGGGACAGAATTGTAGCCCAGAAATTTACTTTTTATCAAACAGCTATGTGTTCTTTTAGGTAGTGACATCGTTCTACTTTGAGAACCGTTGCTCTAAATAGATAGTGTTTTTTTAAAAATATGCTTACAATTCAATTCTTTTTTCTTTCCTTTTGATAATGTCCTCCATCATTGTCTGCTCTGAAGGTAAGCTGCACAAGCCTAGAGAAAGAAAGGTGGGTTTCAGTGGGGTTGACTTATTATCATTGCTTTTCACAGTAGTTGGCTTTTAAAATTAAATTCTTTATGTTGGATCCTGTCATATGAGACACCACAGCTGCATTGCTGACCCCCAGCTGCACGTACAGCACAGTGCGCGGCATGGATTATGAGGCAGACGAGGTTAAGAGAAGGGGCTGGGCAAGGTAAGCATGGCTGAGGGGCTTGGAAGCAGTGTTTGGGATCTGTTCTAAAGGTGGTAGGACCCTGTAAGAGTTTCCTGAGTAGGACGAGAAGATTAAGATTAAACTTCTCCTTTGGAAAGAGCCATCTGGATGTGAATTTAGAAAAATAAGCTGAAAGGCAGTGAGCCTATAGCTGTGGAGAACAGACAAGAGGCTACTGAAGCAAACCTGATGAGAGATGAGAGTGGAAAACAGGAGGTGTGGATAGAAAAGATCAGTGCAAGAGTTACCATGTGCTTCTGGTTCTGTCTCCTGCCCACAAGTGTCCTCTGAGCCATAGATGCGTTGGGAAATGGCCAAGGCCCCTGCATATGGCTACTCACTGGACATCTCAGATTCAAGTAGTCAAAACAAGGCTCATCATCAAAGTCTGCCTGCCCACCCCTGCATCCTCTTCTGTGCAGCCCTCCTCTACTGCAAGCACTGCTGTCCACCTCACTTTTAGTGCTAGAGATCTGCCAGATGCCCTTGCTTCCTGTATTTGCCCACACTGAACAAGCAATTATGTCCTGCTGATTTCTTCCTTGACGATTCCTCAGGTTTATGTCCTCTTTTCCCTTTGTCTCTCTGCTCTGGCCTAGGCATTGTTATATTTTAGCACAGGTGATTGATAGTTTTCTCACTGGACTCTGAGCTTCCACTATTCTCCTCCTTTAAATGTACATTCCACACGACTGCTGAAATAATGTGTGATAATAATGTCTGAGAAGGCCTGTCCTTGCTTATGCCCCTACATTGGTGTCTCTGGCTGAAAAGCTTTCTACGATGTGGATTCTGCGTCCTTGTGCCAGACTTATTCAAGGTGGCCATGCGATGCAGCCAGATTTGGGAATTGACACACAGATTATGATCCAGGACTCTTAGGATGACAGTCAAAGTTTTTGTGCCTGGTTCTCTTCTTCCTCCCCAAAATTCATCTCCCCGCACCCTCCTTCTCCTCACGCCTTGCTCCAGATATGTCAGGTAGCTGTGACTGTCCATGTGCATCATGCCTCTGTATGCTTGTGCTCAGGTGACTTCTCTTTCTTACTTTGTTTCCTTTTTGAGACAGGGTCTCGCTATGCAGTTCAGGCTGGACTTGAACTCAGTTTGTAGCCCAGGCTGGCTTCAAACTCGCAGCGATCCTCCTGGTTCAGCCTCCCAAGTGCTAGGACTACAGGCTTGTGCCACCACGCCTAGCCTCTGCTCAGGTAATTTCTTTCCTGTACCTGAGAAACTTAGTCATCCAAGAAGTTTTCCTTGACCCTCCCCTTACCCCTACTCTGCTAAGTACCCTCTCTCTTCTCACAGTACACATGCTTTTCTCTATCAAAGCATTTGCTACACAATGTTAAAATGAGTTGTTTAAACTTTTCTTGTCCCAGTTAGACCCAGCACAGGCTACGTCTTCAGTGAGTTTCTGTTAAACAGAACTGAACTCTGGAAGCAGGAAAATCATAGCCTTCTAAGTGGGTGAAGAGCTACCCAGATGCACAGAGAGAAACCATACAATAATTTTGTAACTTTGTGCGGATTGGTGATGTTCAGCTGCTCACTCACCTTTGAAAACTCTCGTTGCCCAGCGTGCCTGAAGCTCAACAGTTGGGAAAATAGAGCCGAGGGGCTGGATGAGACCGAGGCATGCAAGGGTTGACTTCTCCAGGCGAGGGGGGAACATGTATTTATACAGTGAGACCATATTCTGCTCTAATTGGAAAACTGGCTCCTCAAGGAAAGGAAAAGAGAATGTATAGCCGGTTGCAAAGACAATGACATCAATGTCCCCCTCCACTGTTCCATCCTCAAAGATGGCGGATGTTTCTGTGAGCTCTGTCACTCTTGGTTTCACCTTGATGGCTCCATAGAGTATGCGACTGGGAAGGTCATCATTCAGTATAGGCTCTTTCATAAGGTATCTGAGATACATAGGAGAGAAACACTCAGAAGGCTCTTCTGCTAAGGAATCTTGAACTCTCTTGACATTTTTTAGGGGTAGCTCTGAAAATTAAGGAGTTTTCAAGTGACTATAAAATTTTAGCTTGATTAATTGGCTTCCCCCACCTTTATTTCTGATTTACCATCATCTCACAAATCTCACCCTCAGAAGTATAGAAAAGCATGTAGGTGATGTTAGTTGAAGTCATTTTATTTACAGTATTAATTTGTTTTTTTTTTTGTGAGACAGGGTCTAGCTATGTAGTGCAGGTTGGCCTTGAACTCACTATGTTCAGGTTGGCCTTGAGCTCACTATGTAGCCCAGGCAGGCCTTGAACTTGCAGGTGCTCTTTCCTCAGCACCCCAAGTACTGGGATCACAGATGTGGACCACAACACCTGTCAACTCAGTTAGTCATTTTAGAAAAGGAGCACTCCCAAGGGCTTAGTAAAATGGCAACACCTCTGGTTAGTACCAAAGTAACCGTATTATTAGGTTACTGGTGATTATTATCCTATTGATGCTTCTACTATTTTTATGTTATCTAGCTTTATTTTGCTGTTTTATTTAATTCCTATGTAATCATAGGTAAGGAGGGGAAATCATTAACTTCATAATGAAATCTACTATGGCATCAGCATAAAAACGAATGGATAAAACTAGGTTTGGTGATATTTGTTAATCTCAAATGCCACTGAGTCTCTATTTATGATAGGCTTGATGAAGGAGCAGTTGGGTTGTATTTCTGAAGGTCTTTTCGGAGAGTTGAGAACTCTTTTGTCCAATCTCAAAATAGAACTACATGGCATTTGTTATAAGATTTTGAAGACCTATTTTTTTTTTAAAGGAAGGAGCCTGCTATCAACTAAGGAAAAATAAACACCTACACTGTTTTGCTTGTGCTTAAAATATCAATGACATATAATTTGGAGATCAGGAAATATTTGTCTTTGTCAAAGAGAAAAGACTATGTTCTCAAAAACTGCCCATGGAAAGAGCCCTCATAACACACAGAGTTATTAAAGCATAACTTGTCTGATGGAGGGTTATATGCTTCCTACCACATCCCTCTGGAAAGAAACTCATAGTCTCTTGAAGCAATCTTCTCCAATGTTGGACAATTTTAGGTGTTAGACAGTTCCTTCCATCAATCCTAATTCTGCTTTCTAGAACCGCTTATAGCACCCCTGCATCATCTTCTTAGGTATGTTTTCAGGACATATAGAAAGCATTTAAAATTTAAACTCCAAGACCTATATGATACATACACTGTTAGCGATTTGGATCTTTGTAATAAAGGCAGCTTCAGACAACCCTGTTAACCAACGAATATATCATAAAATGACTCTACTTGTTTTTAGGCTCCAGACTATAATTTGCATGGTTGAACCAACGATTTAACTGTTGTTCCATCATCCATTTGAGAACTGTTCGTGGCAGGATGTTTCGGAGCATTGACTTAAACCTAGTGTGGAACACCATGTCCCATGGATAGCCATCTTCAGAGATTCGGCTCATGACCCAGGACCCACTTCTGGTGCTGATGAAAACCTAGTAAGCAAAAAGGGATGTAGTTTACATTCAGACATTGTCCTCCGTGGGAAGAATCTATTGTATAGTGGTGGATATTGTGTTCCCTTTCAGAATTTATTGAGGTTCTCTTTTGCAGATGATTGGCCTCACAGTGAAGTCCCCTTAGTTTTCAGCACTCTTTGGCAACTTTATCATAAAAGGAGATCCCTAGTAACTTTTACCCTGACACAGCGAGATTTCTTTTTTTTTTGGTGGGAGGGCATTTCTAGGACTGGGAATTGAACTCAGGAACTTGTGCTTGCTAGGCAGGCGCTTGTGTCACTGAGCTATATCCCTAGCCACAGCAGGATTTCATGGAGACATAAGAAGACTTTAGATCTAATAGAAATCTTCAGAAATATATATTTTTCCTTTTTTACTGTTACTCTGTAGTCCGAATGTGTATTTGAACTGCTTCTCAAATTTTTGCCATCATTTTATAAGTTCCGTTGTTTAAGGCTGTCCTTCATAAACAAGTGAGATTCATTTGTAAGCAATCCAGTTCACATGAGGTTAGGATCATGAGTTCTGAATCCAGACTGCCTTCCTTTGAATCCCAGCCCCACTACTTACTAGCTGTGTTGCCTTAGGTGAGTTATTTTCAACCTCTCTCTGCATTTCCTTTATTTTTCTTTAAAATTAGGGTCATAGCAGTACCTACATCATGACATTATTTTTCAGGTTAAATGAAATGATACATATGAAGTATTTAAGGTGTTGCCTGGAAACTATAAGCACTGCTATCTTCATTATTTTCTAAATTTAGGCTGCAGCAGGGAATTTAATACAATGCCTCACACCTGGATTGAGCTAGAATTTGAAGACAAATTTTGTGGGGAAGGGCTTCAGTCCTTAGGTTCGGGCTACTTTCTCTGAGATACATGCTTCAGGCTCAGAGCCAGATATTTGATTTTGGTGGGAAGTGTGTGGATGGCCCAACACCATCCAGGTATCCAGAATGGTTCTTTGGGGCTGTGGAAGAGGGTTCTTTATCCTATGAATGGATCAGGGAGCACTCAGGATTTTGCTGGGTTTAGGTCATAACTTTAACCTTCACAGATGTACCTAGTTCCATCTCTTATGTACATAGCTCCTATAAATTGTCTGATGAGTCTTCCTCAAGAGGATTTAAGAATATAATACTTTGTATAGGAGGTTTTATATAATGCCAATTTATGTGATTAATCAGTATTGAAGAGATACCCTGTGCAAAAGATTTTAATGAACTGTGTGGAACACGAATATTGCCAGTGAAAATTCTTATTATTGAATCTGGCTTCATAAGCAAGATTTTTAACAGGCATGACCCGTATCAAGAATTGGCTCTTGCAATCCATGACTTGATATCTTTGGAACATCTGTTCTAAGTTCAAATCGTTGACCTGACCACATGCCATGGTCTAGGATGTATCTTCACATGGTTGACAGTTAAGTCAGCTTGGCTTCTTTTATTTTTCCTATCATTCTCCTCTCTGCTTGTTCATATGGTGGGTTTTCCCAGCATGAGGGAGACTGGGGCCAGTAGTTCCCACTGCTCTGCTCTGTTGCTCTCTCTCTCTCTCTTTTTTCCAGTACTGGGAATCAAACTCACGACCTCGCGCTTGCCAGGCAGGCGCTGTGCCGCTGAGCTAAATCCCCAGCCCCTTGCTCTGTTGTTCTCTAAATTCTTAGTTGTTGCCTCCTCACTGGTTCCTCACCCTGAGGTTTTAAAGCATTGGAAAGTGAAATGTGACTTCTTTTTACAGAAAAGGTGAGAACTTCTTGGGTCTAGTGAAACTTACTCTTGGTTAACCTCTGTGTTTACAGGTTGGCTCTGACCAATGATGACTCTGACAGGTCCAGTGTAAACCCTTCACTACCCTGCTGGGGAGGCACTGTGTTTGTTTATTGCTCCCGGTAATCTTTTTTTTTTTTTTTTTTGATACCCGGAATCAAAATCATGACCTCATGCTTGCCAGCCAGGCAGGCAGGCACTGTGCCACTGAGCTAAATCCTCGCCTGCCCCTAGTAATCTTGAGCCCTCAAAGTATAAGACTTGGGACACTAAAGTTTTGCTGGTTGTGAACGTGGTCGTGGTTAAGTCTTGTTTAGCCAGAGATACAAGGCTGAGGAGGTTAGTGTAACAGCAGTAGGGCTCCTGACTTAGGCCTTGTTGATGAGAAATACTTTGAGAAAGGACCATGAGCTACGGGTTTCCATCTTTGCCTAGGTCTGTCCTAGAAGGGATTTACTTCTGATCATCTCCATCAACATTACATATATCTTTGATGTTTGCCTCGTTGGCAGTTCAGCATGTGTCATTCCTGCACAGGTACAAAAATAAGTATTCTGAAGGACTCAGAGAGTGCCTCAATACCTATGATCTTAGTCTGGAACTCTCACCATCTATTAAATCTTCTTTTCATAGTAGTTGGGTCACTGAGACTTACCTATATTTCAGATATGATTCACATAGCACTAAATTTCTGAAAGACATTCCCCCAAAAAGGCACCTATCAGCATCTCATTAAGTCCCCTGGGAAGAAACTAGGTCCATTACACAGAAAATCATCTAGTTGAAATTTTCTATTTAAAAGATGAGAGAACCACAGTCTAGAGAAGTGAAATGACTCAGTCTAGGATAAAGACTCATTAGTGGCAGAGCTGAGAGAAAAATTGCCGCTTCTTGAATTCCAGATTTTCTCTGATGCCACAGTGGGCAACCACCCAACCAATTAATGAGCACTGGAGCTTTGACTTATAGAGCTGGGGTGCTCGAGTTTGCCTGTCCTCCTTCATCTCCCCCGTAGTACAAGGTAAGCAGAGAGCGTCGCACCTGAGCAGCATTTTTACTCAGCTCCGAGGCAATATCTGCAGCTGAGTTTCCTATTCCAATCACCAGGATGCGTTTTCCCTCAAATCCAACTGGGTGCTTATATTGACGGCTATGGAAATACTGCCCTTTGAACCGCTCAATACCTTCAGGGAAAAGAAGAGAAAAGTCTGTGAATGTCCACGTAAACAATTATGTCAAGCTACCTGTAATAAAGTTTGGAACTCTTTCTTTATGGGGTCAATCATCTGACCCATTGCTTCCCCTCCTACAGGAGTTACACCATCAGGGTCAATCGGCAAGCTCAAAGTAAACATCTATAAAAAATATTAGGTACCGTTTATGTGGTTCAGGACCACAGAGAGGCTGTATTCAGAGACTGGAGGATGCACTTACAGAACATACCATTGGCTTTGTGAATGATGCAGGGTCAGAGGCTGGTTCTGACTACCTAATCTCTTATTTTGGACTGTCTAGTGACACTTTAGCATCACATAGCAGGTATCGTCTTAAATATTTCTTGAATACATTATTAAGTGCTCTCATTGTAATTCTGTAATACAAGATTAACACTTATTCTGACTTTGTAAAGGCAAATGAAAGCTAAAATAAACCAAAAATACAGACTTTACACATTCAGTATGTCGAGAACTTATTGGTAGCTAATTGCAGATAAGCCTCTTGTGTCCTTCCACACTTGCTTGGAATATAGGACTTCATTAATTATTTGCCTTTTATGGTGGAGTTACTTGAAAAGGCCTTGATCATTAGTTCTTAAAATGAGGCCCCTTGGAATGTGTTAGAAATATAAATCCTTAGTTTCAGGTCAGATCTACTGATTCAGGAATCCTGGATGGATCCCAGAAATTTGTACGTTAAAGTCTTCCCCATGATTGCTTTTGGGAACCATTCCTATAGACAAGTGGGGCCCAATCCTAACTAGATTTTAAATCACTCAAGCAAATTTGATTTCCCTGGCTGTACCCCACGGTACTTGGATCTTTGAGGACTGTGCTCAGGCATCAGAGCTTCAGAAACTCCACTGGTGATCTGTTGTAAAGTCCAGCTCTCCAAACTGAGAGTCCTGAGAAAGAATTGTGTTCTCCAAGGAAAGGGCCTGGGGAGCTTCAGGACCGATGGCCACAGGGCTGCATTCCTGCACTCCTCTCCCATCACCATCTTGAAAGTGTTTTTTTCCAGGACCTCTGTCCAGTAACCTCTGAAGAGTAAAACTTCAAGGACAAGACAAGTATGGATGTGTTCAGTAGACCAGAAAAAACCCAAGACAGACACATGGATAGAAGAGCTTCTCCAACAGAAAGCTGATTTATTTGAGAATTCTCTGAAATTCTGGAAAACACATAGTGACTTTGGAGGAAGTCAGTTGGACTCTAACTTAATCTTACTGTTCTCCCCAGTTGGATTGACAGCCAATCCTGCCTGTCAATCCAAGTTGGATATAAAGTTCCTAGAAACCTAATCCTAAGAGCGGAGGATCCATGCAGCCCTCACCTGGAAATGACTTCAGTGGGATGTGAGGTAGGATGTGGTGACCGCTGCAAACCATAACTGCATCGAAGACAGCACTTTGCTCCTTGCCATTGCTCTGAGTGACAACCTCCCATCGGCCAGATGAGGAGAAGTCTGGGCATTTTTTCACAGTAAGGACGATTGTCTTGAGCAAACAGAGAAGGCATCATTAGCAAGTGCTCTAGCATAACATGGGTCCTGTCCAGGGCCTTGAAAGTAGGGATGGATAGAGTGTAATGTGTAGCTCCATTTTGTTTCTTTTTGGAATTCATTGCAGGCCTTCCAGCATGCCTGTCTCATTGTTCCTTGGCAGACAGCACTCAGGACATGATGCTTTGTGCAAATGTCCTGGCTCAGCAGCGGGAACCAGCATGTAAAGAGTGCTATGTCCTGAACATAGACTTGAGTGAAAATAGAGAAAGAAGATGAGATCTGGACAAGGATACAAAGCGTGTGTAAGTCACTGAAGTGGTCCATATAATGAGCATTTGTCAAGAATCTTTTCTATGTCTACCTCTGTATGGAGTCTGGATGAAGGAAGCTATTTCACAGGAAGTGCTGTGCAGGGTGCCTGCAGTAGTGTCAGCCCTCCTTGAACTGGCAGTCTTTATTGTTAATTATTTTTTTTAGAGTAAATGATGTTAGCACTACAGGGCATGATCTCCTCTGAATGAAATAATTTATTGTCTGGAGAGCTGTTAGTTTTTAAAAAATGCTCATAACTACTTCATGTTCATAGTATTTAAAAAACATTGTTAAATGGAAAAAAAACTTGTCATCTTTTAGAGGAATGACGTGCTTCTTCTCATGCTCACAAATATTTGCATTTCCTGTATATGTATTATGGTTTGAATAAGTGTTGCCCAAAGTCCCGTATGTTAAAGGTTGGGCCCCAGGCCATGGCGCCACTGGGATATGGGGCAATCTGTAGAGGCGGGGCCTAGTGGGAGGAAGTTGGGTCATTGGGGCATAGCCATGAAGGGGGAACTCAGGCCTCTCTGTCTTTGCTTCTCAGGCACCATGAGATGACAGCACAACCCACCACATACCACCCACCACGATCATGACATGCTACCTCTCCACAGGCCTGATGGCAATAGGCCCAACTGACTATGGACTGAAACTTCTGAACCTGTGACCAGAATCCAACCTCTCCTCTTTTAATGTAAGATATCTTATTGTTTTGTCACAGAGAGGAAAAGCTAAATAATACAATATACCTTGCAAATTTTTCAGATATATTTCAAAATACTGGGTTGATGATTTTTACAGCTGTCTCAATGTTAAAAGTGTACGTGGGATAGAAGTGGAAAGCTTGTGAAAGGACTTTAAAATATGCAGTCAGGTTTCACAGGAGAGTAAAGATTTCAGATTTGTAGTTCAGAATAATATACGAACTAAAGCACTATAAATCTTTCCTGCTCGAAATGTGCTTGAAGGACCACATAACCCATGAGTTTGTTGGACATGTAGAATTTCAGACCTCACCCCAGGATTGTTTAATCAGAATCCATATTTTATCAAGCTCTCCAGGTGACCCATCCATATATTAAAGTTTGAGAAGTGCTAATAAAAATTACATTGCTTTTTACTTTTAAGCTTTACAGTTGTCTACTTTTTTTTTTGTATGAGGAGACATTCACTTTATTAATTTTTGATGAAATTAAACATCAGTGAAGGAAGAAACATTTTTCACACAGTACTTGTATTAATATTTTGGAGTGGTTCACCGTGTTATCTGCTACTTCTTGAACTGAGCCTTAATATCTATATTTCAGTCAACTCAGGGACCAATAAATGGAAATAACTCTGCTTAACCCCTCTTCCCTGTCCAGGAAACAGTGTCAGCAACACAGAATAACCAAGAGAAACATCTCTCTTGCATTTTGAACATGATCTTTAAAATGACAGAGAAGTTACATTTCAGAAGACAGCAGTATGTTTCTTAAGTAGATTTACATCCTTTTGTGGACAAAGATGTACAAAAACTTCTAATATTAAAAAACCTGTCATTCATACAATGGATATGCCAAAAAAATGGGGGGAAACTACATTAAGTAAAACTGGATATTATAATATATTTATAGATGTAGACTTCCATCAAAACACACTAATACACATTAAATATGATATAAGCCTGGTCCATGCAAAACTTGAGCTACTAATAGAGTGAGATGTGTTAAAAAAATAAACCCCAGTAACAGTTATTTACCTAGAATGTAATTTAAAATTTATTGTCTATGGAATACTAGTAAAAATGCAGCATGTTTGAAGAAAATACTGTAGCTTCTGTTGTGGATTATTTGATTTTGAGAAAGCATAAGAATAAATAATTCCAAGTATATTTCAAAATGATCTGACCATCTTAACGTCCCTAGAAATTGCATCCAGGATAAAGAATTAGCAACAATTATTTCCAAAGTTTTCAGATATGAAGGGAAGGTAGGGAGTTTGTTTAACACATACCTAAGAAATCTCTTTTCTATAGAGAAGTTAAAAAAATAAACAGCAGTTTGATTTTTTTCCATACATACTTTCAAGGAAAATAAGGCTAGGAAAATTCAATGGTAATACATAATATTAGTTTAAATGTAATTTTACCATCAATATTATTATCACTCAAACTTAACGGATGGTTCCCTTCTATTCATATAAACAATCTATAATGTTAGGGACAATTATACTACTTTTGGAATTTAGTCATGTTCATACATTTTGACAGAAAATTGGAACAGGAGAGTTTATTCACATGTTTTCCATCATCAGAGAAACTTTTATATTTAAATGGGAACTGGATTCATAAAGAAAAAACGATTCCCCCAAAGTACAGTACCTGGAACTGAATATATTTTAGAAGATCAAACTTTTTGGCAAAAATTCTGAAATATTCCAGAAGTTTGGAGTTGGGCAGGAAGTTTGGGAAATCTTCAGGCATTGGGAAGTCACTGAAACAGGACATTTCTTTGCTGGTGTTGGTGATGACAGATTTGTAGATACTCGCTCGGCCATCTTCCACATTGTCCTATAAAGTCAAGTAAAATAATTAGTGATAATCACGTATTTAAAACATCTCTTCCTACCCTTGAGTGAGGCGATTCCCTTTCTTTGCTCCAGCTTGCCTAAAATATCCAGACGAAGAGGCACAGCATCTGTAATCCACCTGTTTGTCGCCTACCAGGGTTGCTCTGCTTAGTTCGGGAGAGCGGTACTGGCATTAATAAGGGTGGAGACATTTCTTTCGGCACTGCATGACATTTGGCTTTTCAGGTCTCTACCTATTTAATGTCAATCTTTGTGACTTGATTAACTTCCTCAGTTTCCCCTAGGGTGTGTTTATACCCCATCTGCACCTTTAGCAACCAATAAGCCCTGGGACAGAGAACATGCTAGAGAATTTCAAGAAAAATGAGTATGTTGAGAACCGGAAGTTTTCACATCTTGATTTGAATCTGCCTGCCTTCATGTTGTGCTTTATGCAAATCAACACTCCTCCAGTGACAAAAGGGTGAACATCAGTGATACCAATCAGAATTTAAACTTAAATCTTAATGTTAGCAAGTGTGCTTTGGTAAAACGCAACTCAGTGCAGAGTACGGTGGAGTTTATAAATTTTTTCTTCCAGGGGCTGGGGATTTAGCTCAGCGGCACAGTGCCTGCTTGGCAAGTGCAAGGTCATGAGTTTGATTCCTGGTCCGGGAAAAAAAACAAAAAATAAATTTTTTTTTTCTTCCAGCAGAGCTGTGTATAATGTCCTTTATGTTAAATCATGAAGAGGCCCAAATATGACAATCTGAGGTGAGTGCAATCAGCATATCATCAAAGAGGGTTTTATATTAAAAAATTTGAATGATGCTCCCCCCAAAGAACTCCTCAGTAGATGCTTCTACATAAGCAGAAACTGAGGCATGATCCAGAGAAATAGATGTGTCTGTTTTGCCTCCGCATTGGGCTGATGTTTACTTTCGTAATGACATGGAAAGCTTGTAGAATTTCCCTGTTTGGAAAAATGACAGTCTTACTTAAAGGACATCATAGTGATTTCTACAGCCTGGTGAAATAAAATTTAAAAAGTAAATGTTCACTCCTAATCTAGCCACTGCACTAAATCAGTTGTGCTTGTTTCTGTCACATCATTGTCCATAGAAAATGATTCATTTCCTGCCATACTTTTATGTCTAGTTTCCTTGGATTTTGGGCAACGCTGAAACAGGTAGCCTGGACTCTAGCAGAAAGGGCTTAGCCTGTAGAGTAAGATGCAAGTTTAAGTTCATCTGTTTTCAAACTGTGACTGTGGACTGGTCAGTGCCTCTGAGCTTCGGTCCCTGTCTACACGGTAGGGATGCGCTCAGGGCTCGGCAGCTGTGTCTGTTGTTCTTGGTGAAGCTGTGCCCTTTTGCTCAGCCCTCAGTTACTACCCACTGTGCACTGCAGGGTGAAAGCCCGCCTAGGCTGGCTGCTCTTACTGACACTGAATCGCTGACGTAGACACTCTTACTGTTATTGCACATGAGTTGTTTGTACAAGAGTCTTACTTGATCGCAAAGGGTGAAAAAGTAGAGTAAACTTATGGGTCTGTTATGTGAAAAGCTCTCTGTGTGTATTGGACCTCACTGTGACCTAATTTTAAGGATGGTTAGCAGCAAAGCTAAAATATTTGGTTTCAGATCATGTGTTCTCTCCTAGTTACTTTTCTCATTGCCGAGACAAATACCTAACACCCAAAGTTAAAGGAGGAAAGAATTATGTAGCTCACAGTTTGTGGAGATTTCAGTCCATACTCAGGCATTGCAGAGGAAAAACAGTTCATGGGGGACAGAAGGTAGCAAAGCAACAAGGGATGACCATGGTTGTTTCTATCCCTTATATGTTATCCAAGCTGCTTGGAGCGGGGGAGGTGGCACTCACACCCTTAATCCCAGTGCCCTTGATCCTAGCATTTCACCATGAGTCAATCCCAGAGTCACATGCTCTAGATCCAGCCACACCTATGAACGCAGGAAGCTTTGGGAGGGAGATCTAAACACAAGCTACAGCACGTTCTAAGAACAAACCTTGCTAACTATAGGCCCATTGTTTGCCAATAGCTTCCTTCTTAGTCCTACTTTGGCTCTTGTCTTTTCACGTTCATTCACTCACTCGTTCATTCACTCACTCACTCATTCATTGTTTATTTTTTCACTCATGCCTGCCATCCAGTGTTTTCTATCAGCAACATATTTATGTTTTTCGGACCAGATTGTAAAATTAGATGATAACTTGGTTACAACTTCAAGTGGTTTGGAAAAAACTAATCGGATTAGGGTATGCCAGCTTTCTAGGTGGTTGAGCTTCCCATTATTGTTAATTACAAGTACGAGAAGCCAAAGTAGATTGGAAATAGAACATGAAAGGAATTCTGTCTTATATATGAGGGTCCTAAACTTTGGATTAATAAGTAATGATATTTTTGTTTTCAAACACTGGCTTCAAATTACAAGCTGATGTGCAGTTTTCCTGCTTATTTCAGCAATGATTGAACATAGTGTCCTTGGCAAGACTGAGTGTTTGACTTCTTTAGCCAACCAAGTTTTCAAAATGGGAAATATTTAATTAAGGAAACAAATACTATTTTTCCTTAATACCTAATCATTTTGTGAGTAGTACAGAGTGAACGAGGGATGCACAATCAGACTGACTTGCTGATACACTATTCAATGGTTTTCTGATCATGGACAAGTTACATAAACTAGTTTCTTCATATTCCCCTGTAAAATGGGGCACGTCAGTGACTCCAGTGTCAGCTTTTAGGAGGCTTTACTGGGATTAAAGTGCGTAACAGTAATTGGTTCAAAATATGTGTTCAGTAAATGTTTGCTTCCTTTGCTATTATTATAGATCACTAGGGTTAAACGTCTTAAAGTATCCATAGAGTAGAATCAGTTAAACTAAGCCTGTTATACAGTAACTATAATATTAGTTTCTTTTAAGACTCAGTAAATTGCCCTGAAAATGTGGCTGAATTTTCTGTATGGTCAATTTTAAGGGGGAATTTGAGGTTTTAAAAAATGTGGTTTTGATATCTGGGCCCCAATGGTAATCTTAGGGTCAGGGCAAAATTTTTCTTTATAGGTTTTACTTGTGTAGTTTATTGGCAAACAATAATATCAAAATTCTTTTTCTGAAGACTAATAAGTTTTTATTACTGGGTTGGTTGGGAGGCAGCTGTTGAAAAAGAAATAAGCCCTTGTTGGGGTGGAGGTGTAGCTCAGTGGTAGAGCCCTTGCCTAGCATGTGTGAAGTCCTGTTTCCATCTCTAATACTACAACACACACACAAATGTACACACACACATGTGCACATACACATGATTGCACATAAAGAAACAAAGTCCTTGTAAGGGCTTCTTCCTACATTTAGTTGTCTGAAATAGCTGTCTACATATTGGAGAAATCTAGTAAAATTGTCTTAGTTTTCCCAGGATTATAAAGGGCAGATGATTAAAGCTGACTTAATAAGTGTGTGTATGTGTGTGTGTGCGTGTGTGTGTGTGTGTGTGTGTGTGTGAAATGCTTATTTTGCGAAGGCCACAAGCTTGGAGCTAGGGATAAGATGTAAACAGTACAAACACAGTTTCTATGTTCAAGGAGCTTATTATTATATTAAATTAAAATATATTAGAGGTTTGGGACAAAGACACACAGGTTTCGTCTCGAATGTGGCTTTCAAAACAGATAAATTTTACTCACACATTTATTTAAAATGTAAGTAGTTCTTAAAATGATATTCATACACAATGCTTTTGGCCTGTAGAATTTGGTACAGTGTACTTGTTTAATGTAAATGATCATGTTAGAGGATATTCCTAATTAGAACTTTCAGAATATCAGAAAATTGTATCACAAAACTAGTTAGCTAAGATAACACTGATTTTGAATTTAAGATCTTTTGACCATGAGCTGAACTGAAATTTATCCTTGACTATGAAAATAAAAAGATTATTTATTTATTTATTTATTTTTATTTTAAAAATAAAAGGAGGAAAACATTAACAGACAGCCTCTTACAAAATAGCAAAAGAACAGTACAGACAATATAGAGTTACAAACAAAGATAATTTTTTTTAATTTAAAAATTTTACTAGTCCACTTTGCAGTTGGTAATGATTACATTCATCGTGGGAGGGGGTCGGTACATGTACATAACACATTTTAATTCTTTTTACTACCTCTTCCCCTCCTTTCCTACCCCCCTCCATCTCTTGGTCCACTTCCCACTTGCAAAAAACTATCCCTGTTTCTTATTATCTGTCTCCTAGAAAATAAAATGGTTGCAAAAGTGTAACTAAGCTGAAGGGTAATAAACTACTGTAAAAGTGACTCACTTATTACAACTGTGAATTACAAAAACTTATAAAATAGCCCTTTTCCTTATGGAGCACCATTATTTTGACTTTACCAATCAATACTTAGTTACTATCTCATGGATGGTTACTCTAATGAGCTCAAAATAATAAAATTGCATTTTGCAAAATTTCATTCTTTAAAAGTGTCCTATCATTTTTTGCATTAGAAGTATTCAGGGGGGCTTTGAAAACTCTACAGTCTGAGTTGGTGTGAGGAGATCCCAGATATAGGTATTTTAGTAGAGCTCTTTTTATAGAGCACTACTTAATCCTGATTGTGCCATGAATTTCGGGAACTGTCATCTCTAGGATGGTATCACTGCATTCCGACGTCTTCGCATTCAGCTAGCATCTCCCTAAATCACTGGCTTTGACCACTAGTAGAGTTTTCCAGTTAAACATCTTCGCATAGACACTGCTTCCTTTCTCTCCTGCCCGCAGGGTAAGGGAACATTCACTGGCATAGGGCACAGCCAGAAGATTGGACCTCATTCTACTCTCTTTAGCCTTGGCGGTCATCTCTGAGCCACCTATATCTATTCTAGCAATAGGCTGTGACTTTCCATTCTCATAACTGTACCAGGTTCTTAAGCTTCCATAACTCTGTACATGCTGTTTACTCTGCCAGGAAGAGCATTTCTTCATATTCACATGCCTCATCTCTGCTATTGTCAAGACAAACAAAAGCAGCATCCCACGGAACCCTGTGCTGTTCTCTGCTGAGTGAGGTTCTATGCTTTCATAGAATTCTGTGTATCAGCCCTTATCCAATTGCACTCTGATAAGGATTTTCATTTTTGTATTTTCCCCTATGTAAAAAGCTTGCATTTCTGTATGTTTAGCACTTAGCACATGTCTGGAGCACAGTAGGCACTCCATCAATACACTTTTTAAAGGAGTGAAAAAATGATCAGTGTTAACCAGAAGCTTTTTTTGGTCACTGCAAAGATGGCTTAGGGATATTAAAATGGGCATTCGGTAGCATAATAGAAACAAGAAAATGGCTTTGCTAATATTATGCCATAAACTTTGTTCTGTCTTATGCATAAAATATTATAGTTTTTCTGATGGTATATTAAACTTTGTTTTAGTGTATGCAAGCAAACATTACTTCTTTAAAAAATATTAAGCAAAAATTACCAGTTATGTTGGCACATGCCTGTAATCCCAGCACTCGGAAGGCTGTAGCAGGATGACCACAATGAGTTTGAGGCCACTTTGGGCTACACAATGAGCTGATGGCCAGCCTGAACTGCATAGCAAGATCTTGTCTCAAAAAATCAAAAAAAGAAAAAAAGTCAGAAAAAATTAATGAAGTTATATCTAAACTGGTGAAAAGGACTATGGTATTTTATAGTTGATTACCTGGAAGTTACACATAGCTAACATTTCAAATTTGGTTGCGTTAAATATGTAGCAGAGTATAAAAGCCTGTTATACTGAATTATTCTCTGATTAAATTTATCCAGGAGAACTTCTGCAAGTAAGGTAAGGGTAAATCTATTACATATTTTGGAAAGGAAATGGTTCTTTGCTTTGAGACAATCCTACATAGTGCTATAATTTAAATGAACAGAATGTACTATTAATAAGCACTTGCAACTAAAACAGAAGAAAAGCCATAAGGAGTAGAAAAAATAGACAGAGAACATGACGTGTGTAGGTCTTAGTAGGTATGGAGATGACACCATATGGAAAGTTTCATTTGGTGATATCTCAGGTACTGGCTTCACATTTTTATCTGCTTGCCATGAGCATTTTAATTAGTAACTTTGACAAAAATATATTCTCAAATTTGTGCATGCAAATAGAGAGGTGTAGCAGAGATGACAATTGGCTGAAATTTTGAATAAAATGTTCTCAATCATTGATCAAACCAACTAAATAATGTTTATTACACCTATGTGAATTCTTCTTGATAGTTTCACAAGGATAGGATAGGAGTGACTTTTGTTAACTGCTTAAATAGAAAAGATCATGGGGTTTTAATTGATCCCCAACAAAGTATGAATCCTCAATGCACTGTGAGAGGAAGCATGACGTTAAATTAAGTCCATATATGTTTATTCTCAATATTGTGGCTGATTCTAAGATCACTGTACCACTTAGTCAGTATAGCCATGCCATGTATCCTTGGCTTTTTAGCTTTAAATTAGTATTATTAATAAATAATGTAGGAGGTTATTGCAAATATAGATCAAGATAATGCATATGCAAATAATTAGGAAAATGCTAGTTTTTAATCTGTGAGTGCTGAAAAGTTAATGCAGCATTGGACTGTTTTAGTGGAGGTATAGTATTCAAACCAAGCACAGTACAAATCATAGTGGGTAATGGTCAGACCAACTGACTACAGATTTGTTGAGGGCAGTGATTGAGTCATTCTCCATCCTCTAATGGGGTGCCTAGCACCTCTTTGATATGGAAAAGGATACTTTGAAAAATAAATTCATTTGGAATATTAGACTTTGGAGGAGTCGCACTTTAAGAGACAAAGGAAAGAGACCAAGATAGATATATGTCTAGAGAGTATTATATGAAGATTCGTTAAAACACCTGAATATATGTAGCGGGAGAAAGATCCTTGTATAAAACCAACTGTCCAAACCAGTAAACAACTAGGAAAACACTGTACTATAGACTTGATTTCTTTGTGACTACAAAGGGTCAGGAATAATAAAAGAGGCAGAACAGGCTAGTGACTAAAGAGAAATCATGGGTTTTTTTTACTCTCTGTCTCAATACTCCAGAAAGGTTATCAAATGTGAGGGCCCAGCAGGGATACAGATCTTCATTTCTGTTCTTTTTTCATGATCCATGTTCCTGTGAGGAAGTGATTCATCCTAAACCTCAATTTCCTATCCACATATCAAGGAAGACAATCGCAGGAGCTACTTCCTGTGGGTACTGTGGAGGAAAAGGATACATGCTAAGTCCTTTTCTACTGGAAAGGGTTGGAAACAGTGACTATGACTATGCTTCAAAAAATGACAGTAGGGGGAGCTGGAGAACCTTTTGGAAGAATTCACCACTGTCTAGGCTGGGCATGGGACAAGGATTTCAAAATTTTTGTTTTTGTTTAACTTGTCACCACTGCGTATGTGAAGTGATCTCACAAGGACTGTGTGGAAATAGAAGTTAATGGATAACTCACTTTAGAATGGACTGTGAGTTGTGAAGAGCCAAGCTTTCTTGGGCATGGGCTTGGAGCTCCCTCCACCCTTCTCAGAGCCTCTTCCTGTTGGCAGTACGCTGTCCTGGGAACCAAGGCGCTCACATGGCTCCAGTGGCGCCTGTGAAACTTCGCCCATTGTATGCTTCATTCTGCAGTTGTCTTCTAGTGGATAAGAGTGTTTACCTTTCTCTAATGAATGTAATCTTAAGACAGGTTTGGAACATGATATCCTAACAAGTTCCAAACAGTTGTTTGGAACTTTAACATCCAATAAGGATTAATTAATTCAGATTTTACTCTGACTTTTCCAATCAGTAGGAAGGTTTGTCTAATCTTGAAATGTCAGGCACTGAGAATAGGATAACAGAAATGTTTGGGGAAAGAAATAACTTCCTAGGGGCTGGGGATTTAGCTCAGCGGCACAGCACCTGCCTGGCAAGCACGAGGTGGTGAGTTTGATTCCCAGTACCAGAAAAAAAACAACAACAAGAAAAGAAATAGCTTCCTAGAATTCATGAAATCATATTGTTGACAGGTCACTAAGTAATTTTCATCTGTTCTGCTAACAAATTAGTGATAAATAAGGAACATTAGCTCTTAGGCATTGAATTCCAAATTGGATAATAAAACAACAGGGATGAATTTGTTATATAACAAAAAGTTATTATAATTTCTACATTTTTTTCATTGGATTAAAAATCCATCTAGGGACACAAAAAAAAAGAAAGAAAGAAAGAAAGAAAGAAAGAAAAAGAAAAGGAAAAGAAAAATCTCAGTTGGAATCTACATGTAAACCCAAAATGGACAAAGACAACATGCCTTTGGTTAAGATGGGAATGACCACTATGTTATATCACCCTCCCAGGAAAGGCTATAATGATTCTAGTGATCAGTAGTTAGTAAGAAATGAAGATGATTCAAGCTGTTTTTCTAGTTTTCTGCTCTGCAAAGTACCTGTCTTACACAAATCAATTTCTTTATTGCTGACTCTGAATGTGTTTGCATAGCTTAATGAATACATTTCTAAATTTGGTAATTGTGCCATGTTTGGTAAACTTGTCTAGTTATAGAATTTGTTTGAGATTCTTATTAGAACTCTTTAAGAGATTTTGACTCTGCAAGTCTATCAACCCAGACCTTTAAGAATCCCTCAGTTTCTGATGGCTATGGATATTTCAGAAACTTAATATTAAAGGACTCTCTTTTGGCATGAGGTTCAGTTTGAATTGGTAAAATGCATATTCTGCATTGGTAAAATGCGTGACTTTTCCATCTCTCTAATTAGCCGATCTGTAGGAAGAACCCTTTGGATGCTCTCTGCTAATATTAGAGTCTGCCCTCCATAGATTCAAACCTTTTGCTCATCTCTGTTCTCAAATATTTTAATCACTCACCTACATATAGCTGAAGCCAGTTACGGTTCCTGTGTTTGGAATAAGAATGCAAGTTAGGGCATGATTATAAGGAAGGCCATAGGTACTTAAGGGTCAGAGAGAAAACAAACATGGTTTTCTTTTTTTTTTTGGTCAGAGGAAAATAAAACCAGACGTCCTAAAGGTACATATTCTTTGAAGAAGCACTTGGTTCAATGATGAAACAGAAGTGATGTCTTGCAAAGAATCCTTGCTACTTCTAGTTTTTAAAAGATTCTTTAATAGTATATTCTCTAACTAGTGTATCAGAGAATGACGAAAATCTGTGTTGTAAGACAATTGCTAGGTGCAAAAGAAGAAATTCTTTACATATCTTGGCTGGCCGCCTGGGTTGGCATGGTATTGCCTGGGGAGAGGCGGCAACCTATGCCTTCCATTGTGCATAGCTGTGTAAAAAAAATTCAAAATGAAATCGGATCAAAGTTGCTCAAGAAACTACTCAATAATTCCCTTCAGCAGCTATGATTCACCCTGAAATAGCAGCATAACCTATTCAAGGAGCAAGAAAAATCTCACTTACTTTGAACCTCCACAGCCCTCCGATATCTTCAGTCCTCTCAAAGCAAGTGGGCTCAAGTCCCTCATCCACACAGCATTTGAGAGAGATCAAGCCACTGACTCCAGCTCCAATTACTGCCACCTTCTTTGCCATTGCCTCCTGTCAGGGAATTGACCAATCGTTAGTGTTTAACTGAGACAAAAGGAAAGAAAATCCTTAAGATGTGGTGAAGTAACTGGCCTTAACCACTGTATCTATGGTAATTTAATAAGCAGCACCAATTGAATCTGCAAGGTCTCACTAATCAAATTCAAGTCTTTTCGGCCCATTGAGAGAAGCTGAGTTGTCTTGTGGACTTACAATGTCTTAGTTTGAACATGAAAAAGCAACCATTTAGTGAGACAAATTATTCAGTACCGTATTACTAGGCATGTGAGGTCAAGCTCCAGGTAGTCCTTTACAATTCTGAGCATTTCCTTCTCAGCTTCTTGCCCTAGCTATTGTTCTTACCTTTCTTTGTGTCTTGTAGCACTGTCTTTTTGACAGAATGGTTTTCTCCGGTGCTGTGTGCTGGCAGACAGAAGTTTTTAAGAGTCAGAGGTGACTGTGAGAAATAGGAGGAGCTTCTTGCTCCTCCTTCGCCCTTTTGCCAGCTGAACCTCTGAGGACTTCCTCAGGCATCCTGAAGTTATGCAAGAAGCTCACATCTGGAGGTCAAGAGTAATGATGGAATGTCCTTAAAATAAAAACATGCACACTTCACACACAGCACAAGATGGTTTACACTTTTTGTAATGGGTGTAATGAACATGCATTGACAAATTGATAAAACTGAATAATTAAAACAAGCTAAGATCATTTCTAATTTCACTACCCAGAGACAACTATAACTACTGTTGCCATTTTGGTATGTTCTTCCATCTGTTTGTCCAAACACATGTACCTGAACAGAAGTGGAATCATACTCTAAGTGCAACTTCCCATTTTGCCTTTTGTTTTCCAGTAGACCAATAGCTTTGTACCTACAGGTGCATTTTAATGGTTGCATGAGCTCCCTTTAGTTGATGGAAGTCTCTGTGTGCTAGGCACTATTTCTGGCACATCACTGTGCCTGTATGAATGGGTTATTTCCATGTTGTCCTGGAATTTGCATTTTTGTTCTGGCCTGGTTCTTTCAGACTTGATAAATTCTGGATCTTAGCATATTGTGATGTGGATACCTGTTCCTAGATTGCTCACTCTATCCAGACCCAGATCTTATCTTGATTTTTCTGCTTGTATGTATTCTGTTTTTTCTTTTCTGGGTACTGGGAATCAAACTCAGGACCTTGTACTTGTCAGGCAGGCGCTTGTACCACTGAGCTATATCTCCAGCCCCTGTTGTATTTATTCTGGCTTAGATGAACCTACTGGGACTTCTAAGTTCTTCTTATCCACTGTCCTCTTTTGGACTTGATAGATATAGAACAAAATTTCTTTTGCCTAAAATCTCAGATATTAGAATGAACATTTATTAGAAGGATAAATCAGGAAGCTATAAAGGCTTCCTCTACCTTGGATATAGTTGAAATGGTAAAGGTAAAGGACTCTTTTTCCAACCCAGCAAGACCAGTGGCTCTACAGAACCTGAGATATTTGGCGTAAATTCATTGGGTAAATATCAGTCATTCCTGAGATGCTAGACACTAAGTGCTGTAGAAGCAGTAATTAAAAAAAGCGCAAACTCCTTGTCCTTGCGGACTTTGATTTCTAGTGCAGAAAGCCTGATAATCAATAAAATAAAATATAAAGAAAAGATGATGAGAGTTATGAAAAAATAAAGCAAATAAATAAATAAAGGGAGTGCAGAAGTGAAGAATAGTTTCCCAGTGTTCCATCAGGTATTCAGTGGACACAGCTTTCTCTGCAGTTTCCAAAGCTGAATCTGATTATGATGAAAGGCTTTCTGTGTTCAGACAGTAAGTGCAACAACTCTATGGGGAGAACAACAGATAACAAAGATAACAATGAATGACTTAGACACAAAAGAGCTGAACACATTTCTCAGTTAAAAATCAAAAAAGAATTGTTATTTCACCGACAGTTAGCAAATTTCATAAATAGACTTTCAGCAGCTATCTTCTCTTTCCCTTTTCTAATTAACTATGATATCACAGAACCCGTGTTGGTAATATGGTAGTGATCATCATGCAGAGGAGAGTAAACACCTAGACATGCTAGGGAATTTTTTAACCATCGGAACCCCTGGGAGATAACAGAGACAGATGACCTGGTTCTCCACCAGAGGTAATCTATGTGGAGACATTAATGCCACTCAGTGTTACATTAAACACATATCTGTGTTCGCAGCAGCATGCACCAGCTCCCAGATGAACCATGAAACATCTGGCCAGTTTTCTGTTAGAGTTTTACATTCCTTCAAGTTTTCGGTATTATAAAAATACTATATTCTTTTGGTACAACTCTTCCACACTTACCTGCTCATTTTCTTGGGGGTAAATACCTAAAAGAGGAGTTACCAAATTAGATTTTGCATGCTTTAAAGTCTACAGTGCTCCTCAAATTTGCACGGAATACACTTGGAGTCTTGTTAAAATACCCAGGGGGGTTGAATAGATATCGGATAGGTCTAAGATTCTTTATTTCTAACAAGCTTCCCAGTGATACTTTAGATTGATTTAGAGTTGCAAGTTTTTAATATGTTTTGCCGATTTGCCTTTCAGGAAGCAGATATATTTTAATAGTACTTTATGTTTACAAAGTATTTTAAATTATAAACATATTTTATATACGTTGATTCATTTTACTACTTTAGCAACATAAGCATTACCTCCTAACTATATTTTATGGGTATGGAGACAGGCTTGGTGGAGTTATCATACCATGTTACTAGAGAGATTAAGAGTAACCAGAATGGCAATAAGATTTTTAAAGCTTTGTCACATTAGAAGCTACTGAAGAAACTTTTGGTGTTTAACCCAGAGGGTATGCGTTGAAATTCCATAATAATTGTTTTTAAGAAGTCTTCTATATGGAAAAGGTCAGAGAAGACTGTTCTGTGTAGAATTAAAAATCTATCTAGGACTTGTGAATCTTTTACACTGTCAGTATTGAAACAGAGGTTAGACCTTGTTAGAGAATAATACAGGCATTCACATAGCATGTGAGGGCAAAGGATATAGCTCAGTGGTTCAGTGCCTGCCTGGCAAGCACAAGGTCCTGAGTTCGATTCACGGCACCAAAATAAAACATGGCATGTGATAGTAGAGTAAGTAGTTACTATGTAACCCCAAGAGTCTAGCATCTGATATCAGATATCCTATCATCATTTAAAGAAGCTGAGGGGACTTTAGATTGGATCTGAAAGTGCCCTGGTTACTGAAGAAGAATGAGGGCTGTTGGCTAGTCACTCATACACAGGGTCAAGGCTCCCGGAATCCTCCCCAAAGCATTTCCGGAAGAGTTCAAGTTCCCTTTCTTGTGTGTACTCCTATGAGAACAATGTACATATCAAGCCTGTTATCTCTTCTTCCTTCATTTAAAACCATCAACTACAGATTTCAAAAGAAACTTCTTAAAACCATGTTACACTTTCTGAGGAGCAAGGAGCCAGGAGGACCATTCTCTCACTAGGTTACTTTTTTTTTTTTTTTTTTTTTTTTTTTGTGGTTTTTCTCTGGTACCGGGAACCGAACTCACGACCTTGCGCTTGCCAGGCAGGCGCTTTGCCGCTGAGCTAAATCCCCAGCCCCTCTCACTAGGTTACTTTGAAACTTAGGTAAACTACAAGCCAGACTAGTCTTCTTATCCCTTGACTACAGCTTTTCTGTTTACATGAGCTCATCTGTGTTTCCTGTGTGATGCATGCAGTCTCGTCACCATCACCTGCTGTGTGTCCTGTATTTTCCGGGGCCGTTCCCTTTATAACGATCCTCCTGGAGCTTCTGGACTGAGAGCAAACTGAGAAAGCACTTTTGCTTCCCCTTGTCATAAAAAATTTATACAAAAGCAGGCAGTTTACAACAGCACCATGAGAGGGAAATATTCCCCAGGCTACATTTTTAAAAAAGCAATTTCATTGCAGTATAGTTCATACACTGTATAATTCACCCATTTAAAATTTACGGGTTTTAGTATGTTCACAAGGTTGTGTGATCATGACCATAACTTAAAACATTTTCATTACCCTGCAAAGAGCTCCTTTGCTTATTTGCAGTTGCTCATTTCCTTCCACCTGTCCCTTGACCCCTAGCCCTAGGGGTGCTAATTTAATTTCATTACCTATCCATTGACCTATTCTGAACATTCCACATAAACTGAATCATACTTTGTGTGTGTATGAAAAGGGGAGACTTCTTTTACTTAGCATAATGCTCCATAATTTTATCCGTATTGTAGAATGTATCAGTAATTCATTCCTTTTTCCTGTTGACAATATTCCATTGTATGGATACCACATTTTATTTATCTATTTCCACGTTGAAACACATTTGAGTTTATATATGTAAGCTTTTGTGGAGATATATTTTCATTTCTTTTGGGTATACATCTAGGCCTGGAGTTGCTCAGTCGTATGGTAACTCTGTATTTAGCAGTTTGAGGGGCTGCCAGAAATGGTTTTCAAGGCAGTTGCACTATTTCATATCTTCACCAGCAGTATATGAGGGTTCCAGTCTCTCCACATTCTCTCCAATGTTTGATAGTGTGTCTTTTTTTGGTATAACCATCCTAGTTAATGTAAAACTGAAATTTTATTGTGGTTTTAAATTACATTTTCCTAAGTGCTAATGATGTTGACATCTTTTAATGCGCTTGGCTATTTTGAATATCTTCTTTTGGAAAAATGTCTACTCTGATCTTTGCCCATTTTGTCTTGCTATCATAGAATGAGACTTTTTTTTTTAATAGTCTCTATGAAAGTCCTTTATCAGATGCATAACTTGCAAATGTTTCTCTCATCCTGGGTTTTAAAAAAACTTTCTTGGTGATGTCCTGTGAAGCAGAAAGGTTTTACTTTTAATAAAGTATAATTATGTATTTTTTCTTTGTTTTTATTTGTGCTTTTGGTATCACCTCTCTAAATTCTTTGCATACCTGAGTGCTAGATTTTAATGAAATTTTCTAAAAATGCAAATTGTGTGGGTTATCTTGACAAACCAGAGCAGAAGCCATAGCTCAAAACAGGTGGGAGAAGCCTGAGGGAGGGACGGGAGGTAACCTAACCAGAGGATTCAGTGAGATACTCCACAGTTACTAAACTGTATGTAGGAGCTATTGTTTACCAGAGATTTTCTAAGCTTTATCTAGATTAAATTGCTTGATTGTTACTACAATCCTTTGAGAGACTAAATTTGGTTAATTACAGTTTTTGAGTGAGAACATTGGTACACAGAAGAGTTTAATAAAGTGTTAAAGTCACACAACGTAGAGGGCTTTGAATCCAGGCCATCTAATCCCACAGAACGTGCTACAAATCATCATACTAAACAAACTCAGAGGTGGCAGGTATTGCGAGAAGCTTATTGAAAGATATTAGTTAAGGTAATTAACTAAATGAGCCTATAGATATTAATTAAGATGATTAACTAAATGAGTCAATAGGACATCTAGGCTAGTTC